TTAATGATGAATCCTACTGTTTCTTGGCTATCCTTGCTGGAAGGGATTTTAAGAGCTCAACTGGTCCAAGTGTCTAAAACATCTGTAAAAAACAGATGACAGATGGAGGCTTTTGTGCCCAAGGGTATGCAGTCGGTGGAGTGGAGGAGTTCAAGTCTCCTGACTTTAGGGGACAGTCCTTTTCTCTAGTTTACAAATTTTGGGATTTCAAGACCCCGCAATATTAAAAACACACTCTTCAAGGACTCTCCTACTGCTTACAATTATATCCTTCCCGAAATGATCTGAAATGCCAATAGCAGGTATCCTTGAATAGCTCTCTATAACCTAACAGATAAAAATCAAATTCCAAGTTAAGCCCAACTCTCCAGCCTTAACCCTTAACATTTCCCCACCCAGAACTCTATTCATAGGAGGGGAGAAAAAAGGAGTTAGTATTTAAAAGAATCGGTAATATTTTGTGCCAATAACAAAGTACCAAATTACCTTTTCTACTTACGAGTCTTGTTTTTTTAAATTGATATATTTGTTGCATTTCCAAGTTTACAAGCCGCATGCATTAGTCAGCTATGCTGTTACTAGTATGTAAAGAAGCCTAAACAAATGCACGAAGCGTGGGGGCCCAGCCAAGCCTCAGTGCGCTGACCAGCGGGCCTGGACCACCGGGGATGTCACAGCATCTGGTCACCAGGACACAGGCTCTCACTCTGGAAATGAAGCTGCTTTTGTTTTTAAAGAACTAGAACTGTGTCGCTACCATTTATCCTGTCTTTGACTTAGATGCAATTTAAATATCTTAAGAATTGTAATTGTACAAAATATAGTTATGCACAGATGGGAGTCATTCTTTAGGGGAGACAGTGGAATCACACTGCTGAGGTTTCCCAACTAAATTATCTCCTGAGCCAGACACTGAAACTTCTCTAGTTACAGGGTCTGCACCTTTCCCCCCACTAACCCTTAAAAAACACGGCCACAGAGAGCTACTGTTCCACCCCTATCAGTTTGAGTAGAAAAAACCAAACCACTGTCTTAGGGATAAATGATAAGCTGAGCTGAAATGTATAATTAGCTGGTGCTTTTTTCACTCTAGAGCTGCACTGCCCAATGTAGTTGTCACTTGCTGCACGAGCCTCTGATCAGCTGAAAAGTGCCCAGTTTAAGTTGAGATGAGCTGTAACAGTAAAACACACACACGACTTCAAAGGCTTGGTATACGAAAGAGAATGCAAAATATCTTACTAATAAACTTTTATACTGATCATAGAAAACAAAGATATTTGGATATATTGGGTTAAATAATACATATTTTACATTATTTCCACCTGTTTCTTTTTCCTGTTTTTTAAAAAATATGTTTTTATTGATTTTAGAGAGAGAGAAAGGGAAGGGAAGAGAGAGAAACATTGATCATCTGCACGGCCCCCCCCCCAGGTACTGAGCCCCCCTGCAACCCAGGCACGTGCCCTGACCAGGGATGGAGCAGGGGACCTCTCAGTGACGGATGAGATGATGCCCAACCAACCGAGCCACGCCAGCCAGGGCTCTTTTTCTTGTTTTTAATGTAGCTGTTAGAAATTTTAAAATGGCACATGTAGCTCACATTAAATTTCTATTGGATGGTGCTGCTCAAACGTTATTCTTTTAAAATAAACAAATGATCAACATCTTTTAATTCTTTATTTGCCTTTAATGATCACTTGCGTTTCTCTAATGAAAGCAGAACAAAGGATCCATAGTGGCAGAGGGAGGTGTGTAGTGGGAGGCAGTGGAATCCAGTTATTTCTATACCTGATTATTTAAATTGTGGACAGGTGTAAGGAGGGAAAAAGATGTTGAATTACATGTAGACGGAAACCCATTTTGAGATGTGACCTAGGGCACAGTGCCGCAGAAGCAGAACCACGGCCCTCCGCGGCATTCCGGAACATTCCCGCAGGCACAGCCTGTGCCACAAAGCCGCGGTCCACCTAGCGCAACACAGCGACGGGTCCACCTGAAGTTTCAGTGGTTAAAGTTTCTCTAGTTTGCAGCCAGAAAGGATTTACAGGAAAGAACATTTATTAACTATCCAAGGACTCTGCAGGTGATGCCGGGCAAATGTGGGAATGTGACACTTTCAGTATTTCACTTCTGGAGAGCATATCCCTCAAAAATGGCAAAGTGCCATAAATTATTAATTATTTAAGTAATTCATATTAACGGCCCAAATTCTAAATTCACAATGCAATTCTGAACAGGTGGTACATTCTAATTTGACACTATTGTGTGCTTATAATAAAAAGATATAAAACACAATTATTGGGAATTGATGAATCTTCAATGTCATGAAGTCAACACAAGTAAGTGCGGATAGTTTTCTTTAAAATACACATATATACACACACACACACACACACCCTGAGCCAGATACATGCCATAAAACACAAGCTTTCCTACGTTATAATTAAGAAAAGACAACAGTCCATGGTATCAGTGTTAGTACAGGAAAGAGAGGTGGCGATTTAGAAGGGTTCTCTGTCTTACCTCGCCACCTTCCTCCACGTGTTTGTAGACTATTAGGAAAGTGGATTGCAGCTTATGTGCATTTAAGTTACAGGAATTCAACCATAGGCACTGGGCAGGAAGAGAGCTGTTTTTTAAAACAACAAACAGAAACCCCACCGTTCCATTCAGTGAAACTTTGCCCCAGCATAGGAAGGGAGAGAAGACTTGTCTTTTAAAAACTGGTTTCGGGGCTCAAGTCTTTCATGGGAGTTCTGGGCTCACAGGTGATTGAAGGCATCATAAAGAGTAATATTATCTGTGCCTAATCTTGACTGATTTATTGACTTCAGACTGTAAATCCCTGGCAAGAGGACTTGTTAGTGTGCTGATGGCAAACTGTTTCATTAAGTCATAATGTTAATTGTGCTGGTTCCCAGCACCTTCCTGGGTCCATCCTTCCGTCCGCTGATTATACCTGTGGAAAGATCGCTGTAGAAAGATCGCTTGGCTACTGTGTAACAGACAGACAGACTATACCAAGGCGGCAGAAACAACAGTTACTTGCTGACCTCAATTACTAAAATGATGGAAAAGGGTCTAAGTGGATAGAGGTTTCCCGGGAAAGAAGCCTGGATAGCTGCTTCATGGAGACGGCTTCAGTTCTTAACAGAAGTGGGTGCACTGATATTCCCCTCCCAAAGTATATATTTTTAATGTTGACTAAGATAAGCTTAAAGTGTCCATTTTGCTCTCCCTCTCCTCAGTAGTTCACAACGGTTACAGAGTTTGTGACCTGGAGTGCTTTTAATGCATTTAAACATTAAACATTTGCTCCAGGAACTGCTGGGCTTTGGGAGATTCAGAAATAACGATGCCCATCTTGCCTTCTCCTCGCTTAATTCCAAATTTGATATAGGAGACTTTCTTATAAATGGTGTATAGTACACGAGACACAAGAGAAAATGTAGACACCACCGAAAATGGTAGCCTGATTAAGCTCACAATTTTCCAGTGTACATATAGGATACTGCTTGCAGCTCAGGCCGTTTTCTAACTTTGAATACAAAGGTAAGGAGTTTCTGAAATTCTTTCACACTATACAATTCCCAGAAGGGTCTTATAAGAAGAAAATGATTTCATTTTATCCAGCAAGTGATAAATATGACATCACTGTATTTTAAAACCCTGCAAAACAAACAGTACCGTATGGTTCATTTTTCTTTTTTCCAACTGCAAACTAACAATCTAGTGTATTCTAATAAACTGCTGTTGGGTCCAGAAATATTTGGGGCCAACATTTCTTTATTCCCATTACTACTGGTTTGCTAACAATTTCTTTAGCCTCAGAATTATAATTAGAAGACAGTTACTACTTTGCATAATCAAATTATAATTGCTGTTTGGATGCAATCCAACCAATTTAAGTATCAGTTACTTCCAAAAAAACCCCAAAACACAATGTCTGGCAAAAGAGAAGAGCAAACGCTATGCTCTAATGATCTAGGTTATCTAATAAGGATTACCTAAATTTTAAGTTGTTCTTTTGTTTTGTTTTTTGGTTTTTTTTAGAGGCTGGATAGTAAGTGATATTAGAAATATCAATGTATTTTAAGGCATCACAGTGTGTAAATGGCAACAATGAATGTTCTTCAACAAACACTGATGATGCTAAGAAAGGTCAAAAATTCACTTGGGGTAAGAAACTTGTCCTAGTCTCAGGCCTCTCGTTCGTTACCTGTGGGCTCCTGGGTGATCACCTCACATTTCTGAGTCTGTTTTCTCATTTGTAAAACGGGAGTTCCAATACCTTACTGTGAAAGACAAGTCAGCTTTTTGGATGCACCAAAAATCTAGGTGAGATGAATGATAGCAAGAAGCAAGCAAAAGTCTTGTGTGTGACCTACGACTGTTCCACCATCATTCTGCCCTTGTGTTGTCCTTTGGTTCAAAGGCACTGATGTGGCCGAAGTAAAATTATAACATGACAAAAGCCTTTTGATATTTCAGATAAACCCTCTTGGCCCAGTGTTAAGGCAGATCAGTCTTAAAAGGACCACCATAATATAAACCAGATCGACGAGCTTTTTCTGTAACGAGTCACAGATAAATATTTTAGGCTTTGCAGGCCGCTTATGATCTACGTCACATAGTCTTCATTTTGTTAACCCCTTAAAAAAAGTAAATCCACTCTTATCTCGAAGGCTACACAATAAGAGGCCAGGGCTGAGTCTGGCTGCAGCCAGAGCTCTCCAGCGCCTGTCCCAAGACCGACGTCCTTGCTGTTAAGTGGTTACGCTCAGTCTGACATGCCACGTGGCTTCAATTCTTTTACACTTATTTTTTGCTCTTTATGATTCATTTGCCAAAATCTTATACAATTTTCCCCAACTACCACAGCCTCAGAGCCCAACTTCACGCAAACACCAAAAGAAAGCTCTCAGGAAAACCCTTCCTAAGCCTCTACCCTTTGCACCGCCCTGCCGGGCAGACACCGAGGTCTCGCAGCCCCTTACCTCACGGGAGGGACATCGATGTTGGAGGACACGACCTTTCGCTTTTGCTCAAGGAGACAGATGGAGCGGGTGCTTTCTCTGTCGTGGTCAAGGGCTCGGTTGGCTGTTCTGGTGTCTGCTGTTTTCATGTCTTCCTCCATGGCCAAGGGGAACAAGGGCTGATGATGAGACATTTTTTTGCTCGCCTCCCGTTTCAGGTCCTCCGGTTGAAACGTGAAGGTCATGTCCCGCTTACCGCTCCCCACCTGGGAAATGAACACAAATCCTCACTCGCACAGGTCAGCTCTGCGGGACCGCGTGCAGGGGCCCCGAGGGGACCGCAGACGCTGCCCTCCCTGTTCATCTTGAAGACCGTATAGTTTAAATGGGGAAAATGCAAAGACAAATAAAATACCCAACAGTACAGAGTAACATACAATTAATGCATCTTCCGTCCTACGCAAGCAAGAAGCACAAAACACAAGAGACGCCTTTTGGGCGCACAAAATCTTGGAAGGCTTGAGAGCATAAGACTTCTAAAAAAATCTAAAAATTTAACACACTATTGTTTTCTAAAACTGAGAAAACTCACTTAAGTCAATAGATTCTTAAGTATTTCATGCTAAATATTTTTCACAGAAGACAGCGATAAATAAAAAAGCCCAGCTTCGCATTTGACCGAATACTGATCTTCACCACACTCTTTCGCTCATGAAGAACTGGTTTTGTCCTTTGTCTGCAGGAGTTAACATCTGAATGATAATAACTTTTCTTACTGTTGACTAAGTGCAACGATGCTTAAGGCTTAAGAACAAATATGAAACGAAACGTCAGGGAACTGAATCTGGCTATTTCAGAATTTCGGAAGATTGAAAAGGAGACTAATGTTAAAGAAAGGTTTTGGTAAGGGGATGGGTGTTGGAGATGAGGGCTGGAGCAAACTTGGTCAAGTCTTAAGTGTACAAAAAAGACCCAGGGTATCCGGTAACCTGGATCCTCACTCGTCAGTGGTTTCGAAATATGCCTGTAAGACATGTCGCAGGTCCACACGACAGTCCATCATCGTGGACGTAGTTTCCGGAGTCAGTAAATCTTCGCCCGCCCACTCAAGCAGAAGATATGCTTGTTTGTTTCTTTTTGATTTTAGGTAGGAGGAAAGCACAAAGAATGTGATCAAATAGGTTCAGAACTTTAAAAGCTAAAGCCATAAACTCATGACTTCTTCAGAATAAAATGAGACCAGGATGTGTGTTCAGTGATAGCAGAGATTGGCAAAGTATGATATTAGTGGCTAGAAATTCTAAGATTAAAGGAAAGCTCTGAGGAATGGGTGTGCTGGAGTCACGGGAACTGCTCAGAGATGAGAACTGCCAGAGCCCAGGGATGACTTGTGCCTTGGAGCCCCCTTGTATCTCTCATGGGAACATCTTTCATGTCTCATTGGCCTGCACTTGTCAGCGAGAGGAGACCTCCCATGTGTTCCTGGAAAACTGAGTCAGCTCCACAGGAGAACTGCCAGCCACACTGGGTCTACGTGTAACTTATTAAAAAGTTACCACCTTTCGCCGTGCCCGGTGTGGGTGTGGCTCAGCTGAGAATCACCCCCATGCACCCAAAGTTTGATTCCCAGTCGGGGCACATGCCCAAGTTGTGCATACAGGAGACGACCAATCGATGTTTCTCCTCTCTCTCCCTCTCCCTTCCTCTCTCCCTCAAATCAATAAAAACATATTTTTAAAAAGTTACCAGATTTCTTAGAATGCCTTAATAATATGAGAGTCCAAGAAAAATGAGTGCTTTTAAGAGCTGTTTTAATGACATCAACAGACAATAGAGAGGAACCAGAAAACATGTCAAGCTTCCAAAAACGCGAGTGTTCAATAACAATTTAGTTTGGAAAATTGAGGAGTGTAATTGCAAATATTTTAAGTATCCATCTGTGATCACCTTCTAGGTGACGTTTTCTGCCTGGAGGTGGGTGTGAGAGTGGGTGTTTGTTCACTTCCACAGGGGTTCATTCCCAACCAATGTCAACAGCAGGATCAGGCTAAACACGAGGCATCGAAGAGGAAAACAAAGGCCTGGTTCTGATGAGTACAAACAGTTCCTTCCTAAGTGTCAAGTATTACGTTAATTAAATATTTAAGGAGTCATTAGTATTCATTTGTAGCAATAATTGACATCCATACCTCTCTTGGGGCCAACGGGGCTGGTGAAATGAATTCAGTCCAAAGAGAGGTGGAGTTGGGGGATGACATAACAGGAACCTCAGCTTTTAGCCTCAAAAACGTAGGGAAAAACCCAAGCATCTAAAGCCAATTAACACAAAGTAGAATAGATTTCCTACAGAAGTGATGCTATAATTGTATGTTATGCTCTTAACTAAGACTTCGTAATAAAATAAATTATGGTAACATTCAACAATGTAAGCTATTAATCTTCTGTAATACATTCTAAACAAAAAATTCACCTCTATGTGGTACTCAGGGAATTTTAGCAACGTAATGGGTTTCAAAGACTATTCAGCCCAGACTCCTTGTTTAAAAGTGAGATTAAAATGAGTTGGAGATGACCAAAGAGGACAAGAACTGTAGCGTGACTAAGCGACTGTCGAGACTTTGAGTCCCAGGCTCCGCAGTTTGTGAGGTGTGGTGACACGTGTGGACGTTCTTTACAGCGCTATGCTTTAGAGTTTACGTAGATACTAATGCTCTCTTTAATGTTCTTTTATTCCTATGAGATGTTATATTTTAAAGATTTTGGAAAAGGAGAATTCACGGGAGAGAAGAGAGTGGAGGGAGGACATGCGGGCAAATCTTGAGAAGTTGGGCTCAGGAATGGCCAGAGAAAGCGGGTGGTGGCTGGGGAGCACGGTGGACTCCAATAAAGAAACTGAGAGTTACCACGGGACCCAGCCGCTCCACTCCCAGTAAATGCCTGAGAGAACTGAAACACACGCCCACACAAAAACTCGTGCGGGACTGTTCCCAGCAGCATTGTCCAGAAGAGCTAAAAAGTGGAAACACCCCAAATGTTGATCAATTGAGAAATGGATAAATAGACTCTGCTGTATCTATACAATGGACCATTATTCAGGAATGAGGGACTGATCCATGCGACAACATGGATGGACATTGAGACAGTGTGCTAAGTGAAAGAAGCCAGACACTAACAATTCCACGCTGCGTTATTTAATTTATATTAAATGGTCAAAATAGGTCAATCCATAGAAAGAGAGAGTAAATTTGTATTTGCCTAGGCCTTAGGACTTATGGAAAATCTGTCTCCTAATGAATAGAGTATTTCTTCTGGAGGGACATGACATAAAGCTTCTAGAATGGATTGTGGTGATGCTGCACAATTCTGTGAATATACTAAAAAACGCTGATTTTCACACCTTAAAGTGTGACTTGTATTGTATGTCAATTATATCTCAATAGAGCTGTTACAATAAAAATAAATATGGGGGAATGGAGCGTGTTAGAATGCTGGGGGATGATGGGAAGAAAGGCATGGGTCAGACTTTGAATGGCTACTAGGTTAGCAGAAAACAGCAGCTAAAGGAAGATAAGAACCCCAATTAAATGGGAACCCCCATTAGGTTAGGAGAGGAAGGCAGCTAACAGGAGATATGAGACCATTTGTGTGATGTTTCAAGAACAGGCAAAGCTACAAGGACAGGAAGCAGATGAGGGATTGCCTGGGGCCGGGGCAGGAGTAGGAACTGATTGCAAGTAAACTATAGTCAGATTTGTGCAATGCTGTAAATTTATTAAAAATCGTTGAACTCTATTCTTACAATGGATGGATGTTGTGGTATGTAAATTATCCCTCAATAGTACTGTTAATTTTAAAAAGGAAGAACCAAACCAGGAGTAACTGTGTGGAAGGTGTATTCCCAAGAGCAGAAACGGGGAAGCTGTGCTGCAGACAGGCAGCCACGAAGTCTCTGGTCTATGTAACATGATCTCAGGAAGGAGGGACGCGTTCTTACAAAGAGAGAAAACATTCTGAAAGGACTTTCCAAAATGTTAAGAATCGCTTCCTTGGGGGCAGAATTATAGGACCATTTTGCTTTTTACCTTGCTTGTAATTTTCACAATGTTTGTGTACAGTTTCATATATCAAAACCTGCTAAGGTATTCTATTATGAAAAATACACATCATTTTTATGCAATTAACTTTTTAAGAACCTGACATTTCTATAACTAATACTTTTTCTTCTATCAGCTTTCACTTATGTATATATTAAAGAGGGAAATGAATTACTTAAAAATACATTCACTTACACTATTACTTTACACGAATTATCAGCACCCCTCGTCATAAAAGCTACAATAACTTCCATTCAAACCTCCTTCCCACCCAACACAGAAGCCCTTCGTAAACATCACACACACTTGTTATCCAGTGTCCTTTCCTGCAAGAAAACAAAGTTTCACGTTCACTTATGCGAGAATACTACCAATTACTGAGTCAACTGACACATAAAACTCATAATTTTTATTCCAATGAGCAGCTTTTATTCCCAGGAGAAGATAAACAGCATATCTAGGAACATGACATACTTGGGAAACACACAATATTTTAAACAAGAAGTTAACAGCATTCACTTATATCTTGAACTTCTCTAAATGGTGTCCCTTGCAAATCGGATGCCACTTTCTAAGACAGGGACTGAGCTCATCAGCTTTTCTCAACACAAAAACATCTGGTTTCCACAGGAAGATTACAATGGTGCCCTGGGAAAGAGGGTGGCTTCTACCCTCAGCCCATCTGCCAGACCCATCCCTCCTTCTGTCTACACACTCAGGAGCATCCCAGGACACCAACACCCTCCCTATGGATTTACCCTAATACGATGCCAGCAAGCATGCGTCAACACTCACTCCTGGAAACTGGCCTCACTCATCTCAGCCCAATAAGATTTGAGGAGTTGGCTCTGGAGATTAACTGAATTTCCAGGAATCATGTGCAGAAAGCCAACCCATTTGCCTTTGGTCGCTTTCTGCACAGTAAGAAATTCTGGAAAAGAGAATGAAATTCAGGCCACAGCAAAAACCACCCTTAGAGAGCAAGCCATGGAGGCAATTCTTTGAGTCTTCCATTCGAAACCACATGGGCACACCAGACAAACGCGGTAAGAGAAGCTTTTTCTCACATTAGGATTTATTTTAGAACTTGCTTTCAAATCACATAACTTCCACACTTAGAGACTAATGCCAATGGCGTGTGAACTACAGTGTGGAACACGGAATCAGACCCCCAGATGTTAAAACATGTTTCAAAAGAAGCAAAGGTTATATTAATAATAGGAACAATTGGCTTTTAAGTTAATTTAAAATATTACCACTCGGGGTCATGCTCAAAGGAAGATCAGACTCTCTCCTCCATTGATTAAAAACCATGTCCAAAAATAGTCCATGGAACTCTGTTCCTCACTTGAGCTTAAGTTCTCCACATTTCAGCTAGGTCCCCAGGAAAATCAGTTGGCTGGCCCACCTGTCAGTCCTGAGGAAGGTAGTAGAAACACTTTAAACAGCGTGGCTTCCCCCTGGTAGCCCCTTGATTGTATCATCCCCTGAGCCCTCTGAAACCAAGTGTT